GGTTTACTGTATACCGTTTGCGGCGTTTATCTATGGAGGCCGTCTTTGACCTGCTCTTCGTCTTCAACATCTTTGGGCAAGCAAAGCCCTTGCTGGAGGCTAGGTGACCTTTGAATGCCCCCGTCCCAACACGGGCTTACCACAGCACCACCTCAGTCATGATTCTGTTCTGAGACGTTCTGAGTGAACTTAGCAAGCCAAAAAGGGGCTTGTGATTTGACTTGTTGGGACAGATCTTGACGCCCTCACGCTTGCAGGCCCTTGCCCTCGCATCTCCGACAGTGCGGACAGGACTCTTTCACGCATGCGCTCGAAGTGATTGGTAGTGATCTATAGGGGCGCAAGAAAGGATTTCTTTCGATTAATTCTTAAGGACTTCTGTTGATCTTGGAACTGAGTGTCTCTTATTCTCAGACCTTCTTCAACATGCACTACTGGGGAACATGGCAGGACGCAAAGACGATCTCAATGGTTCTCGTGCCCAGCCCCAAGGTTCACTACGCAGTGCTGCACCGCCCTTTTTGAGAAAATCTTCGAACCCCAAAAAACAACCATCAATGGGCCTTTGAATGCGAGCTGCTACACAACTCACCCTGGCTGTTGCAGATGAGTGGCGGGCCACCCGTTCCCACTCCAAGGCTCCAGGGACTCCAGCAAACCAGAAGCAATTCTGGCCTGTCAGCGACACTGCCAGGCAGTCAATGGAAGGGGAGACGGTTTTGTGTCTGGCAAAGGTATACACTTTGATACACCACTTTGTCTTTTGCAAGGTGTGTCACAGTCCAGGGCTTCCGTTTGGGTGGTGAAGCGGGGTTCCACATGAACAAGCTGAGTGGTTCAGTGTGTTCCCGGTGGCAGACATGAAAGGCGCGGGCGCACCCAGGAGGGCTAAGAAGGCCGCCCAAGCCATGCCGTTTCCGTTCTCCGACAAGAGTCGCACCTGGAAGCAGCGCCAACGTTCTTGGGTGATGGCTGGCCTGAGAAGCATGCGCGCCCCCATGGCGGGGGGTTGGAAATCACAAACAGTACTTTAAGCCCGTATTCGAAAGGACTCGTAGGAGGCAGTAAGCGAAGAAACCAATTGAAATTAGAACATTCCTCTTTGTCTTTGTAGTTCTTGTTGTCTACAAACCTGCCGAACAGGTGGCGCTGATGTTGGTGAGCGTGTTGTTCAACCGACCGTCGCTGAGCTGGGAAGACCCTCAAGAACACCTCGAACTCTTCGCAGGAGTTTGCTCGATTAGCCGTGGAGAGTGGCAGGCGTGTGTGTGAATGGCCTGAAGTCGTCGTCGTGTCTGCAATACACAAAAAAATAAACCAGAGAAGGGCCAACCGCCTCTAAAGGCCAATGTTTTGGGAATCCCGCTTTGCGGTTAGGCAGCATTTGGCATATGAAGCTTAAAAAGACCGCAAAAATCTATCCCAAGCCCCCTTATTTCAAGGTTTTAAAGATTCAGGTCTTGGAGGGTTGGACACGTTGAAGGTGTCCGAAGGCAATTTCAACAAGTGCCCTTTTTCAAGCCAAAAAAATATGTCTAAAGGTTGTAGAAAGGGCACTTGTTTAAATTGCCTAGGTTTTAGAGGGCCGTAGCTTTGAGATGGTGAACGGTGACCAAAAGGGGCGCCGTAGATAGATTATAAACTATGTGCCCTTTCAAATCTTTTGGCGGCTCCGAAAGGCTCAGCGGAAGGCAGTTGCCATGGACATCAACATTGGGGGAGGCCTGCACGACATCTTGAGCGACGTCGGCTTCTGCAATACTCTCTTCCAGTGCCTCAACTTGCTCCCTGGAAGCAGGCGCTGGCTGGCGCCTGTTTGCTCAAGTTGGGTGTTCATGATTCTAGGCTTGTTCCAGGCCTGTTTGTATTCAAAACTACGTCACATTTTGGAGGTGGGTTTTGGACTTCAGTCTATGCTCGGTTCAAGTCCAGCCAGTGGAATGCTTCATAGTTTAAACCACTGCATCTAAGGTCTCGAGGATCCACTGGCCGCACACGTGAGCAACCACTAGGTTGGGTTGAATACAAGAGCGTCGCTGACGCAAACATTATGGTTGCTCGTGCGGTGATCATTCTCATGATATGCCAGGCAAAGAGGGTCTGGTGGTGCCTTGAACAGCCTTGCAACTCCCTACTTGAACATCATCCGATGTTCCAGAAGTTCTTGAACATGGAAGGAGTGAATGTCCAACGTCTTTCTACAAAACTCCTATGGTTTGGAGGCCCAACTGCCAAGCCGACCTGGATTTATTCAAGCGCCTCGATGTATGTCTTCAAACATCAAACACGAGCAGACCCAAAAAGGCATTTTTTCGGGGTGGCCTTTTTAGGCCTCAAAAGCTGCCCAAAACAACTAAAAGAGGCCACCCCAAAAAAATAGATTTTGGCATCTTTTGGATCTTGATTCCTTTTGATAGTACTCAGTGCTACATAGTTGGCGCCCTTCCGAGATAGCCCCATTGTTTTTGGTAAGTTGCAATTGGGCGAGGTCACAAGGAGATCGATGAACTGCAGCTTCTCGCCAACAAGTCTGCTCTGCCTCAGTCAGAGGCAGTCGAGATGGCAGTGACTTACACTGACGGCTCTGGCAAAAAGCGGGCGAAGGGAGGGAAGGACTTGAAGTCCAGCCAGTCCTATCCCACAAGGCTCCTAAGTTATTTGAGTTTCCTGCACTTTTTCCTTGACAAACCCACCAGTTCTCAACAACACCTGCGGTTTAATGAGCCAGTCTCTGAATGATCTGCTAGCCAACTGAGGTTAGGAACTTCGATGGCACGGGTGAGGACCAAGTTCGCAAAAGCTCACCGATTGGCAGCCCGCTCTTTCTTGAGGAAGGCTTTACTTTTGAAGGGCCAAAAGTTGGTAGACTGCAGCGCAAAAACCCACGGAGAATGGGTCAAGTCAGCCAACCTGCAGCCAATCCTAGATTATCTTTCCAAGTAGCATGCCTGGCGCACAATGTGCCTAGATGCTTTTGCTCAATTAAAGCGTGTGGAATGCTCACACGCTACTGGGTGATCTCGGGTCCGTCGCAGAAAGTAAACGGGATTGACATAGGTATTTTTTGGGAAGAGTTAGTGTTGTTTTGGCCTTTGTTGGGTACTGCCCCGGGTCCTTGATGAACTGGAGCGATGGTCCACCTTCCCATCTCACACCAATTGCTCTTATCCATGCCACTTTCCCATCTCACACCAACGGATGCCAGGCAACTGCCTCATCATATGCCACGATTGCAGCTGAAGAGATGTCCGCGAGGCAGGCCACCTGCGAGCCCAGTGCGGAGATTTGACATCTTCTTTAATTGCAAGATGAAACAACAAAAAAGATGAAAAATCATGAACATGTGATCAAAACTCTGATGCGTCTTGTTGAGAATAATCGTGCGATTTGTATCGACCTAGTGCGATTTGTAGAATGTCATCGAAATCCATATCTAGCAGGGCCTAGCAAATCTCGATTTGGAATCAAACTTGAGTGACTCTAAGTGACTCTAGTGCGATTTGTAGATACTGCGTGTCTGGCGGCATCGTTTTGATTGGATGTTGTTTTTGTTGCTGCCAGCAGGTTCAGTGGCCTTGCGCTTGTCTAGGTTAGTTGGAGCCACGTAGCAGTGTCCTGTCTGTGCTGCCGGCTCTTCGTCTCATGGGGAAGGGTAACACCGCCGATGGTGCGAAGGGGGGGCCCAAGGTTGTCAAAAAGCCAGCGGCGAAGCTGCCCAGCCGCCCCAGCGCTTTGAAAGCTCCTGAACAAAAGTCAGAGCCGCACAACCGCCGGGTCAAGATACAGCCTGAGATGAAACAGATCGGAGAGCCTCAGCAGGTTCCAGCTTTGGAAGGTTTGAGAGTCTCAGGCAAGCGAGCCGCAAAGCGAGGGCGAGCCCTTGAGTTGCAGCAGGAAGTTGTTGCCTTTGCGAAGGAAGCTGCGGTGAAAACCGGAAAGAAAGCGAAGACCGCTGATGTGAATAGCGCCAAGCCTAGTGCTGAGACAAAACAAAAGAAAAAGGAAAAAACAGGGCCGACTAGGATGGCAAGCCCACCGTCCAGGCGATTGAGCTTCAAATCGCCGAGCTCCTCGCCTCCACCTTCTGCGTCCAAGATTCGTACACCCGAGCAGCTTGCAGCTGCCAGGGCACGGGCAGAGAAGGCTTTGCAGGAGACCCATGACTTGCACATTGCCGCCGACAAAGCGACTGCTCGTGCTGAGATGAACGCTGCTGGCTTGGGGGAATACCTGGACTCCTTGCTCAATGACTCTGAAGATCACTCGGGCTCTGCAGGTGTTTCAAGAGCTTTGGCCAAGAGTGAAAGGCAAAAGGCTGACAAGGCTAAGACAAAGGCTGCTGAAACAGAAGAGGAGCTCTTTGGTACTGGAGCTGAGGAAGAAGATGCAGAAGAAGAAGGCAACGACTTAGAAGGACAGGAAGAAGCCGAGGAAGAGGAAGAATGCGA